TCCGAAACGTCAGGAAAATAAAGCCCTTGTTCCAGTGATCGCATTTTCTTCTGAATCACTTCCCGGTTGGGTGTGCAGTAGGTGAGACAATGTTTATGACTAGAAAAGCTGTAAGGCAAGTGATATTTTAAAGTAAAGTAAAAAAAACTGCATTTAATTTCTATGGATCTACCTAAAATATACCATGTACCACATAACACATTGCCTAAGCCAAACGAGAGTTTTAGACTTTTGCTGTCGAAAATTCGAAAGTGCCAGAAGTTTAAACCCAGTATATGTAGAGAACCTCTTTTCTATCCATGAACTATACTTTTTCTATTTCGTCAGAAGTGCCTAACGGCCAATTCGGGTAAATCACTGGTTGATAAGCCCAAAGTCGCTCCATACGCAGGGTGTACGAACAACAGATTAGCATAACTGTGTGTGAAAATTTAAGGGAACGCGAGAAATCTGGTCCTGTTTCACGAGCCGAGCCAACGGGGGAGTGAGTAGCCTATGGTTCTCCCTGAAAACGTCAGTCTATGGGGCAGCCGAGAAAATTCTTGGATGCACCCAGCAACGCCACAATAGATGGATAAGCAGATAAACCCTACAGTTGTCTGCGGAGACAGCCCGATCGAGGGGCCGTAATGATTATTCTTTCCGCCAACTAAGAATGATGACAGCAAAATCGGCCAGAGAGGACCGGAGGAAATACTGGACTGAAATAGCAACCTCCATGGAGCAGGCCTCGAACGTTGGTGATACTCAAAAGCTCTACCAACGTATCTACCAGGCTAGTGGTAAGCTGTCTTCATTGAATGACTCAGTTCATGATGCGAATGGCGGCTTTCTTGTTGACAACGTGACCAAAGTCGAGCACTGGTGTGAGCACTTCGAGCACCTCAACTTCGATATGGAGCCCAGCACCCCCTGCTCTCTTCTACAGCAGAGCCTCCTCCATCTTCCACTTATCCAGTGTCATGCGACCCGCCTTATGCAGAAGAAATCGCCAATGCCATAGAAAGGCTGCGTACAAATAAGGCCTCTGGAGAGGACGACATACACGCTGAAATCTACAGGTCTTGTGTCGACACTCCGGCGCCTTGGCTTCATGAGGTGATCGGACAAGCGTGGAGAGCAGACCGTTCCTGATGACTGGGGCTCAGGCATAATTGTGCCTGTCCACAAGAAGGGAGATAACGCAAGGTGTGAGAACTACCGTCATTGTTGCGAAAATATTCGCCATCGTTCTCCTCAGGCGGTTCCAGTTTGTGCGCGACTCCAGGACGCGACCCAACCAAGCCGGGTTTCGCGCTGGGCGTAGATCAAATATTCACACTGAAATGGGTCCTTGAATTCCGCCATAGCTACGAACAACCAACGGCCATCTGCACTACTATCTTTGCCACTGCGTTCGACTCCATCTATCGTGAATCCCTAGGGTGAATAATGGCATCTGCTGGTGTACCAGCAAAAATGATCAAGGCATACTACAGCTCCAA